TGTGTCTTCTGTATCGATTGATGTTCTACCATTACGCGTATCCACCTCCATTTGGATCTGTAGAACTAAACATATTTTGACAAAATCCTTTCACCAGTATTATGACCTAAGCTCCCCGCTGGCTTAGAATTTGTCGTTTGCTTCTTGCTATTTCTTTCTCTAATCCTTTCTCAGTTGGGCTGCACCCCAGACTGCCGTTNGCGTCCGCATTCCGGACCAGGTAGAGGAACGCACCCCCTGCCTCATCTACTAGGTATTTTAAGGTTGGGTGCCTAACGTCTAGTCAGTCCCACATCAAAGCGACCAACCGCCTAAATAACGTAAATAACCCAAATCAATCCACTGCCGATCGGAGCCCCTGAGACCATCGAACAAGACCCTTCAGAACTCATCTGTTTCACAACGTGAAGTGCATATATGTTCTATGACAGTTTCACTCTGTTTTGCTTCACCCTATCCGCTCTTGTGCCGGTTTCCGTCCAACGATCTGCAGGCCGCCTCTTGTTATTTTACTCACTGCTTGTCGTGTTTCCAATCATCCCACTATTTATCCGGTATAACGATTCTTGTTTTTCGTCCTACTTCCACCGACTTGCTCTCTAAGAGCATTCCACCATCCTCAACCTTTTTTTATCTGATACCTTGTCCACTCTGTATTCCATTTGTAATTATGTTCACTGCGACCTTCAAATTTTTTTTCCTTTTGGGCTTCTCCTGTACGGAGGATTATGTTGTACATTTGATCATGCATGTCGTTTCAACCTGCTCAATCAGCCTCATTCAGACTAACCTCCTCCGGAGAGAAAGAAGGTGAAGAAACCACCATCGTTAAAGGCTCGAGTGCTGTGCCATCCTTAGAAGGATCACACCGCACCATGAGGTCTGTAATTAAAGAGGTAGAAGTAGAACTACGGTTATTGAGGGATAGACACAGATTAGAATGTGAGATAAAGGCAACCGTCTTCCGACATCAACTGTGCGAGGCCGAAGATAAGGTGGATCTTGCGGAGATTGAGTTTAACAGCGATGCACATAACGCAGCATTCCCGTGTTCCAAGACAGGCTACAAGGAAAGAGTAGAAACCTATCTACGAGAGAGTGTGCTCAAAGTAAAGTTCAGTAGGGGCGTGAGAGAAATACCTGCACGGATTAGAACTGTCGCGGCTGAAACTCATTTCTTTTGATGGAAACGCTCAGAATATTGGCGATTCAAGCGGTAGTTTGACAGCTTCTTTGCTAAACTTTCTCATGAAGAAAACTGGCTTATCTGTTACCCTACTGTAAATGAGTATCTGGGAGGCAAAAGAACCATGCATGCTAATGTCAGAGGAAGATGGGTCTCACACGGCCAGGGAGATACTCCATAAATTATTCGATCAACCGCACGAAGCAATCAGGATTGTAGTAAAGGATGTTTTAGCTAAAACAGCAGAATGGAGTGGAACATACAAGGGCCTGAGCAGGCTTAGCATTAAATTGCGAAGCTGCTATATGGTCCTAACGGAAATGGGATGTGGGTCCGAGTTGGATTTCTTACCCGCGCTGGAGTCATTAGTTACACGATTGCCCAGACGTTTACAACGTACTGGGGCCGAAGTGGTGGATAGGATTGCATCCAATGGCGGGCGGTACCGGTTTATCGACTTTATTGAAATGATAGAAGCAGAGTCAAGGATTCAGAGCAGCCCTTTTGGAAGGCTAGTGGACACAAGACGTTCACCATGGGCTAATCATCCCTGAGGTTCTCGGTGTAACACGCATATGAACGTCACTACAACTAGATAAACATTAGAATCATTACAGATTTTTCAGTGTCATTTATGTCTGAAATCACACCCACTTCCTAAGTATGAAGGTTTGCTCCGGTCTGATGTGTTGAAAAGTGGAAAGATTCTGGAAAAATTCAAGCTCTGTTACCAGTACATTAAATACAGGTACCTGGCGCAAGCATTTGGAGAAAATGTCAAATGCTCGGTTGATAGTTGCACCGGAAAGCACCATAACCTCCTTCACTTGCCACCTAGGGGTCAAGTGTCCGCAAATATGCAAGCAATCGTGGGAGATGCCTGTTCTGCACCGAATGAGATTACTAACCTCAGAATAGTCCCGGTAAAAATAATGCACGGGGACAAATCGTTAAAAAATATATCCCTTGCTAGATAGCGATTTGGATTCCACACTAGTTACTGAGGAATTTTCCGAACTGCTAGGGCTAAGCGGCCTGGGAGTACGAATCAACGTTCACACTGCGGCTGTGTGACATATAGTTAGTCAAAGGATATCATTCGAAGTTAGCCGCCCTAGGAATCAGAAAAGCAATAAGGAAAACACTACACACATCATTGAGGGTTTAATAATGCCAAGAGCTCAGGTACCGGCAAGGAAACAAACTGCTCGATTGACCCACTCCAAAGAAGATTGTCAAGCGTTGCAAACAGCAGAGAAATCGGTAAACCAAGACGAGAAACGATTTTGCATCGGATTAACGTGGAAAACCAAGCCATAGTCCTTGCCGAAAAACTATGAGCTAGTGTTTCGGAGGTTAGAATGCCTGAAATTTAGGTTTACGTGAGTCCATATTTATTTAACAGGTACAATAGTTTATTGAACAATCACTATCGAACGAGCTATTTCGACCGCGTTCCTGACTATCAACTGAAAGTTGCTTACAGACTCAGGTTGTACCTACCACATTATCCAGTGGTAAGCACAAAGAAACCTAAAAAGGTTAGAATAGTCTTTGATTTTGCAGCCACCTATCAAGAAAGTGGTCTTAACTCACACTTATTGTCAGGTTGGAAGCATACTTTCCCCGTAACGAATTTGAATAAAGAAGCCAAAAACAAAGGTTTGCACAATGTATCCTGGATTATCGTCGTGAAAACATTCGTCCAACTTCCAAAATTTTAAAACGATATGCCAAGTCGCACATCGAGGAGTGCAACGTCAGACTTACAGAACTGTTATTGATTGTCGCTAAGGCATCAGATGTTATTGACCAGTTGAACCTTGTGTGCTCTATCAAATTCAGGAACTTTTGTTCCGATCGTGTTTGCCAAACGTGCTCCTTTGAACTGAAGTCACTGGAAAATTCACTGAACCACGAGCTAATGGTATCTTCGTTCCCCAAAGACCTGAGCAAATTTGTGTTAAACATGTCTTCATGTAAGCTCAGTCGTTTACACCTTGAATCGTTATCATGTGGGCTCAACTACTGTGATCCGCGACAGAAGTCTAACCGTATAGATTCTCAAGCGAAAATGGAAGCCTTTTTCGACAATTTCTCAACTCTGCAACCGACAAATGAGGATACCCTTGGCTGGTTCAAAGCAAAATTGGTGGATATAGAACATCAATACCGAACAACATCAATGCGGCAACGTACAATAATGACTAAAGCCCACTTGAGGGCTCTGAAGGAATTAAAATCGAATGAAAACATGGCTGTTCTACGTCCAGATAAAGGATCCGGTGTTGTTGTGATGGATAAGGTTTGTTATAAAGAAAAAATGCTCCCTATTTTGAATGATGGAAGAAAATTCAGATTGGATAAGACAAAGAATGATCCGCAAGAACCGGAGAAGAAAATCAGT